ATTGTGTAATCAATTATCGGTTCCTATTAAAAATATTCATTTCATGCTTAAATTCTCATTATAAGCTGTAATAAAATGTGTTAATTCGAACAATTAATCAAATAATTCGAAAATAAGTCCCTCAGTATCCATAATGTTTAAAACTGGCACACTATTAACGTGCTTTTGCGAATTTCTGTATTCTTTTAGATTTTACAATAAAAACACTCTTTCAAATCAAAATTAAAATACAAATTTATATCTTATCCAAAAATATTGTTTGCATTGTTATTTAGCTATAATCCAAATTCGTTTTCTCTTTTGAATTTCGCTTCTGCTAACGTAAAACTTCGTCTAACGCTAAACGCAGGATTCTAATTTCAAATATCGGGAAATGAAATTGCACATTGACAGTTGAGTGCATCATATTCTGGTTTACTTACCTGTGAACAGAATTGACTAGTGAAGCCGACGCAACCTACCCTCTGTGCCTTTATAATATTTGCATTGCCACTTCTGGTCGTATATCTAGTCTATGAGGCACATAAACAAACACATACGCTATGTTTGGGGATATACGATTCGTTTTAGCAGACAGCTCGTATGATGTTTGATTTCATTCGAATTGTAAATACGGACCGGGCTAAAGCACGCAAAAGATATACACATAAGCAGATATACGGTTGGTGTAATCGCAACGGAATATCGGATTATTTGATATCGGCTCCACGTTATGTTTGCTTTGAGATGACCAACGCGAATGTCAAATAAACATTTGAATATAATAACATGTTTGAATAATTCTAATCCAGCTTTTAATAACCGAAAATGTGAAATGCGCAAACTCATTTTTCAATATATGCTATAAATATTATATGTATTTTGTAATACCGTCACTAAACCATCGTTTTAATAACGGCGAATAAACTTGTAACTAAATTAAAGTTCAGTTTAATTTAGTTTCAAGGAGGTTACACCATATTTTTTGTAGCTATTTATTTTTATTAAAATAATCGTTTACATATATAATAATGGTGCGTTGATAACACATTTTTAATTTTGATTTTATTGACCCAACCACGAAACTTAAACTTTTCTATAAGATAAGTTTCGCATGACCTGCCTAATCCCATGATGTATTTTATTTTATTTTTGGGTTGCCTGGAAGAGATCGCTCTATAGCGAAAAGGCCGCCCGTTGAACTCCATAACTTATAAGAATAATTTTAATTTTTAAAAGTTGCATTATTAAGAATATTTTTTACGGAAACATTTATATGTGTAAACATATACGTCTATTGTATTGAAATAAATAAATAATATTAATAATAGCAATTTCAGACCAAAACCTTGTTTAATAAGCTTGAAAACCTATTGAGGAAATATAGAAAAAAATGCGACACAGAGTTACCATCGCTTCTTTCAAAGCATAAGTAAGGAGAATTTGAAGTATTCTGTCTCAAGCTGTGCCCCTTAGAGCTTGACTTTTGAAAGTTGGAGATCGCTACAAAGGATGAGACTTTCTAGATAAAGGTAGATTCTTCAGAAATTAGATGAATATCAGACAAAGCATGTAATATTATGTGTGGATGTTCGGGCGCTAAATCTAATTCACAAAAAGTGAAAGACGGATACGGAGAGGCAGGCAGAATTTCAAATAGACATTGTAATAAATGTCACTCAATTACTTGAAAAAAAAAGCATTGAAACAAAAGACGATTAGCCATTTGTTAGCGAGTGTAGAGGCTGGGAATCGATATGCCGCACTAGTCAAGTGATTGTAACACCCGATTCTACATCAGACGGTGCGTTCAAATCCCGGGCAAAAATTTCGGAGTGACGAAAATTTTGGCGCGTTAAAACTTCAGTTATCATTTCTAATCTAGTAGCAATCATTAGGTTAGAAGAAAGATAAACCTTTCTCAAAATAAGTATTTTTTGTCATACTCGGACAGTTATATATATATATCTAAATATTTGTGGTTCGATCCTTAGCCGAGGGCCAAAATATTTATCTTTGTTACTCTATTAAAGGAAATCAATGGAAAAATCACAAATTACTGTCCACAAGGAAAACCCGTTAAATTTAATCGCGTGTCGTTTTGTTGCTTTATGAATATCCAAAACAAATATAAATCAACAGCGCATCTTAGATTTTATATGGCTGGGTTACCTTCCATCAAGTAAACCTTCCTCGTCTGTCATCAAAGAGGAAATTGTCATCACAAAATATTAAACTATCATTAAGGAGTATGGTAAAAGACCGTATGTTAGAAGGCCCTTAGTCCCAGAAGTGAGAGTCATTAATTTATGATGATAATATAATTATAAATTGTGCTTAGAAACTTATTAGGTATAGGTATGTTTCGAGTTACTAAAAATAAAGAATATTATGTGAATCCTCCTGTGTTGAACTTTCGAATATAACAAAATTAATGAAAATAACTAAAATGTAACTAGAAGCTCGCTTATTTGAGTTCAATTTCTCTCTTTACACTGCTAGGAACATAAATATGAAGTAATTAGTCGCAGAAAACTCAATCGACGGAACAGAGTTTTAAAAAATTGTTCACTATTTGATTTCTGAACTAACGTTCCTTGTCAAACGTTGTTACTCGTACTTCAAAACAAAGGCTTATTAATTTTCAACTGCAGTTAATTCACAATTTCATTATTAACTCCTAAAATTAATATTAACATTATTTTGCTACAAGTTTTTTTATATTACTGCCATCTTCAACTTTTTATTAAAATCTATTTCTTAGTAAAACTTAGTTCTATCCTTTTTCGAAAAAGTGTAATGCGACATACTTAATAGGTCTTAGCTCTTGCAGATGGCGCTTATCACAATAACAATTTAAGTTTCATTTGTGACATAGATAATAAAATGTATTTACTTAAAAATGTATATAATTGTATGATTTTTTATATAAATCAAATGAAACTTATAATAATCGTCAGTTATCTAATATAAACAACCCAAATTATTATTAGATAGTTAGATGTATGTATTCTTAGTTACTCGCTTAGTATGTTTCTTGAATTGTGATTTATTCTCTAAGTTGTTTATTTTTTTATCTGTGTTAGGGAAATTAGGTTCTTTCTTTGTATACCTTGTAGGTACACAAAAAAGAACATAATTATATACACAATAAAAAAAACAATTAGAGATAAAAAGTCGTAACTCTTTCTTTGTAAGCTTAGTAGCTATACTAATATTAGAAAGCAAAAGAGTTTGTTTCTTTCAACGCGCAATTTTGCATGAAATCCTAGTTCGAATAAAAAAAAACGAACCTCCGATATTAACATAACACACAGAACAAGTTGACGTTAACGAACACTGAGAATTGCTTAATTACATTAAACTTTACGAAGGAATCTTAAATAAAGATTGAGACCTTCAATTTTTTGAAAAGGACCGTAAACAATTTGATATTTCAACTACCGTTTTTAAAAATGCGCATTTTATCAACAATTCATGAAAATTATATGTCACCTTGACCGATGCTCAGAGGCCCTCCGGTCTCACGTTGTATTCTTAAAAGTCTCAAATAAAATAATAACAGTTATGGACATATATTTTCACTAACTTCAAACGATAAAGAAATAACCATCAATTTCTTTGTAAAAACGTAGACAGCTTGTTCATTGAAACTCTTAACTGCAGACATTTTTTGGACAATTGTGGTAGCTACCACGATATAAGCGCATAAACATACATACAAAAAAAAATATAGGATATAATATTAATTTTTAGATTTGTAAATTTATATTAGAGGATATATAATATTACAAAGCTATTCTTGTATATTATATTATGTCGACCTTTATCTACTGTAATATCCCGTAATATGTAACATCAAGGCCTTTTTAAACGGACATTTTTCTGCATCTGGCTCACAGTTTTCTAATAAGCAAGGTTCACGGCTCCCTTTCAACCGGCATAATTTATTTTGTTGTTAGGGTGGTTAGCGGATTTATTAGGTATTTGAGTAAATTAAACAACGTATTGAATTTCTCTTTCTTTCGTATAATAATGAATGGAATATCAAAAAATTAGGTGAAGCTTTAAATACATATGTTCCTCATGAAACAAATTCATACTTTATGAATATTTAATTGCGTCTATTCGATGAAACAATTGTCCTTTAAATTTTACTATTTGTAAAATAAACTAATAGAATGTTAAACTCACTTCTAATAATTTATTATTGATATTTAATACTAAAATATCGAATTACGATAAAGCAGTTTTAGCTTAAATTGGTTAAATGAAAAAAGAAAGTTGACATCCGATATCTATCTTTTTCCTATTATAGTTTTAAAGAGATACTATGACTAGATTTTTGGGACGGAACTTTAGGTAAAAATGTCAGAACTTAAAGGAACAAAAGCTTAATAAATGCCTAGTAAAATATGAAAGTGTCAGTGAATTCGCTTAAGGTCTTTATTAAAAAATTCCACCCTGTCCGATCTTTTGGAAGTTCTTTATAAGTAAACTCGAATCTTTGTTTAAAACAAGATTTTGCTTTCCTTGTAAGTAGGTACGATTCCTCTGTTCTGAGTAAACTTAAAATATACCCTTTTCATCACTTCTCTGAAGTTCTGTACTGCTTGAGAACGTAATAATAATAGCCGGTTTTACTTTTAACGACCGTGAAAATATCGTAAAATTCCGTTCAGACTTCTTGTACTAGATACTAAACAATTTTCCGACTATCATTTTGATGACGATGTCGTTTATGCGTTTTATGTAGGACCTCTACGTTGAGCATGCGTTTTACTGTCGTATTATGGCTGTATAAAAACGTACTAATCCGGGCATTGATGTGTGAAACACGAAAAGTTTGTACTGACGAGGGTAGTTTCGCAAAGTTGACATCGCCGCGCGTAATTCAATATAGGGCCGTTTTGTTAATCGCGAAGGCAGTGAAATTAAGTTTAATCGTTCCAAGAGGGGGCTCAGTTAAAAAAGAGGCTTCGTAATCAGGTCCGCGCGAGCACGCGTTACGCACTTACATAATGAAAGGGGGTAGCGAGGGCGTCGGGGGGGAGGACGGGGCCGTCATCTGCGTACAGGGTGTCCAGCCGCCCACGATCGATACCTATACGTGTGGACTTTATGTAAAAAGCCTCCTGTACACCCGGAGAATGCCGACCATAAGTGTCGAGAAACGAGTCGCCCCCGGGGAGGAAGGCACGAAATATCTTCAATTTTCGAGAGAAAATTTTCCAATGCGGGGGAGAGTGCCCGCGGCGGAAGGGCTCGCTCGCCCCGTTTGCTTGTGTCCGAAAAATGCGCACCCCTTAATTGAATTTACTGATTTGCCTTTCGGAACGCACGCCCCGCCGTATTTATTGCGGCACGCTCGTTATGCTCCATAGCTTGGACAAGATGATCCATACAAACATCGTTCCTATCTTAGGTAAACTTAAATTACGAATGCAAATTAAACTAGTACGTACCTACTCGTAGTTTGATAGCGAAGTATATTCTGCCTCCCTCGAAATCCGGATATTTTTTATTTTAATCTGCCACAACAATGGACTGGACTATTATTATCCCGGAATCTGAGCTCGGAGTTAAATTATTCACGAAGTACTTTTTTGTTTATACATTGGGACGCCTGATTTTCAGGCTTCATTCACATAAGCTAGAATGAAAATAATGACGTTTATAACAATGAAAATCAATCTTCTATTATCGTTTCGATTGGTGATGTAGCAATTTTTAAACGAAGAAGGCTATTGGTTATTAAAATAAGGATATAAGATATTTTACTGTCGGATTACTTAAGTAAATACTTTCCACTACTTGGTGACATTTTTAAAATCTATCTGAGTTTACAGAATACTAGTCTACCTCACTGACTGTAACGGGAGTTAATCTCAAGAGAAATATTAAAATTGCCAAGCGAAAAACAACCCTTTAGTTTAATTCCATACGGTACTAATTAGATCTATTCGACTCTTGTTAGTTTCTTTGTACAAAAATAATTTTACTATGTTTCTGAATATCAACAACTATTTAAAAAAATATCTAGATAACGAAGGCGGTTAATTGTAACTTGTTTATTTAAAAAAATATATTAAAATCTGATATTTCTTGTCTCAAAACCATTTATTTATTTTTTAATCTTTGTTCAAAGGGATTATGTTAAAACTATCATCACACTAAAACTATCTACATGTTGGAATTATAATATATATAATTTTAATATTAACCGTTTACTAATAATCTTAATTGTCCAAATAAGTTTCACTGCTTTCTACACAGGTGGCTCTGATTGTCATATTGAAAAGTTAGTCAATGATTCTTTTACATAAAACACTAAGCACATACACCATATTTACATTTTCATCTCTCTACTAACGCAGTATAAATCTTGAGACGCGCTATATTACAATAATTAATAATTATTCCATAATTTTTACTAATTATAATCGCTCTTATCGCTTATTTCGTACGTTCTAAATAATCCTTAAACTTAAAGTTAAATCAAACGAAGTAATATGTCTGTGAAAGGTGGAAAAGACGTAAAGACTTATTTTCGTAGTCTGATGAAATAAAATAAGTGAGGAAGAAAAGACATATTAAAAAGCGAAAATTCATTAATTTAGTATAATGTTTGGAATACATGTTTTGTGGTCTTTGGTAGTCATCAAGGTTTACAAAACTAAGGTATTAAAATAAAATACTTCAACGGTTTAAAACGCGATAGAAATCAATTAAACATATTTGACAATTATTTTATCACGTCTCCCCGTGCTGCTGCAAAGCATCCGAAACGTCGGGCTATAGTTAAAATAATTCTTAAATAAATTTAACATAATATATATCGCGTTTTAAACCGTTAAAGTGTTTTACTTAAATGCCTCCTACTCGCGTAAACTACAGACAGTATTTATAAACAAATGTAGTTCAAAATTGCAACTAGATATCACGTCCACTTTGCGACATCGGAGCCGCTTGGAAAAGCTTTCCTTGTAGGAAAAATCGAACGTGATTTAAAGAAAGCCTTGTTGGAAATGGAGAGTGGTCGTACTCCTAGCAACACACGTAGCTCACAAAATATATTCAGCGTCGCTCCGCTGGTGCCCTGCCTACCGATACGTAGGGCGGGCAGCTATAGTCCGTGCACATGTAAAATAGCTTTCACTTTCAATACGTTCGAAGTATGCTCTACTTGTATTTAATTTTTTTAATATTTCTGTCCCCCCGTAATGCTAACACCTTGCTTGTCATTGTGCATATCTGACGTTTGCTCTTCTGTAAAATAATCAATTGTTATAACCGACACTACCGTAGATCCAAAATTTAACAACAGATTTTGTTCAATGCAATAAACTTTCAAGTAACTTTGAAAAGAAATATTTTTATAGGATCCATAGCATGACGGTAGATAAGCTTGATAATATATGACAGTGAGGTTCGCAGCATTAAGTCCAAAACAAAATAAAGCTACTGTTCCTCAATCCAAGTTGTGGCTTATATCATCGAACGACTTTCATCACGAATTTCACCAAATAATCTTCGTTACCTGTCATTAATACCTGGTCACTTGGTTTTACATGTCGAATACAAGTAGTTTGACTTAACTTAATTATACATTTGTTGTTGTATTTATTGTCATATAAAAATACAATAGAAAATTGTATTTTTAATTAAAAACATATGACAAGGATGAAAACATATACGGAACCTTATTATGGTCCCACATAAAGGATATATAATATAAAACATGATTTTTTACAGGCATACATATATACTTTGTATAATAATACCTCATAAACCTTACAATATAGTATTGTTTATACACTTGAGATTCAAAATATATTAGATTCGGGATTAAGGACTCAGTTTAATATCACATTTCATGATATAGTAAATTAACTGAAAATAGTTTTTCCCGAAAAAGACGCGTTTTTTATTTATTCACCTCTTTATAAAGTAACGTAAGTAAGTAGAGCAACAGTCACTCCGTCCACTGCAAACTGGATTCTGGGGGCTACTTCTCTGTTATATCAGCCCGTTCAAGATACATGCCTCGCATAGGCGCTCGTATTACCGGCCGCGTGGCCAACTGCCCCCCTCCCAGCCGCCCAGCACCCCGCCCGCCCTCACTCTCCCTGCGTCATCTAGTGCGGCGACTACTACGCTAGGGTTAAATCAGACAACTACAAATTTAAATATTTTAAAATATGTTTTTATCTCATCTCACATTTTATTGTAATTAAATCAATCAGCCAATGTTAAGAGTTAGAGCTTTATAAAACGCAATGAATTCTTAAACGTACCTTTCTTTTTTAATGCTTTGTAACAAACGTGGTAACATCGGAAACAAATTGTAAATAAGTTAACTACTACATTTCGTGTTTTAAAGCGTCATTAGTTAGTTTTATTCAAATCTGTACTACTCGCGTAAACTACAGACAGTATTTTTTATTAAGATTCATTGTATGTATTGTGTTATTAATTACAGAAATATTTTCTTAGATTTTCGTACTTAATAATCAGTAACAAGTCTATTCTTTTTTATTACCTTAAATATTATCTATGGTTTGGGAAAGCACACATTAAATAAAACATATTTAACGCGAAATATATGATTTATTAACTACGAGCCGATATATCATTACCTCAGTTATTACACGTTAATAAAACCTGTTTCAACTCGTTTAAATTACTTTAATTTTAACACACAAGTGGCAGCCCTGTATGTCCGGTCCACGACCCTGATTCTGTAGAACGTAGAACTGAGCCGCGTGCGTGCCTCGTCCGCTGTAAACATCCTACCATTGTACGTATGTAGGGCGGTTGGACGTCCCTCAGCCCCCCACAGAGAAAGGGGTGCCCCCCGCTTCTTCCTTGTTCCTCCTTGTGCAAATTCCCCTGACGATGGAAATGTGCTCAGCCACATTTTATACAATTTCTACTTAGTATATTCAAACTCTGTCCAGTTAAAAACGGGGTCTCAAATACGTAGCTTTAACCAAGATTAAGGCGCTACGAATGGTTTTCACGAGTTAATAATGTTTGTTGGGAGCGATTTCGTCGGGCGTTGACTCTTCGTTTCATTCAGTCGGCCTTGTCTATTCTCAGGAGTCTCGCTATCCTTATTGGGGCACCAGGGTCTGTGAACGCCGTTACTTCAACTTAGTTAATAGACCTTTTTGTAAAACGATATACAGTAGCAAGTAACAAACAGTTGAGCAAAATACTATGAAACAGATTTGTTAAAGTTCTCTTATTCATGTTTAATATTAATTGTGTTGATGGCAACTATCGTTGACGAAATTCAAATTTGGGAGTTATTTTGAATCAAAATTTGAGGGATGGCAATTTCTTTCCAATTCATGACTGTCAGAAAATATTATTTTAAAAATCGAGATTAAATTAAAAAAAAAATTCAGGGACTTAGTCCTGCCCGTCGTTTTTTTTTCTCCATTTTTAAATTATATTGGTGCCTTCATGTGCAATGACATGTAAACAATATGAATGTTTTCAAATGTCAGAGAATAGTTTTTTAATTCTCGTAGGGTGTTTTTTAGATCTTTTCTTATATTTGAAGGGCTCGTTGGACAATTCAAGCCTAATAATCAACGGGTTGTGGATTCAATCCCCACTCGGCTTAACATGTTTCTAATCAATTTATATTTTATCTGAAACGATTTCTGATTTTAAATAGATGATAAGAATTTCGGAAATTCCGTCCGGACCACGAACCAGCATCCACAGATAAACAAGCAGTGAAGTTTAATCGCGGCATTGGGGAATTCCAAAGAAACCGTTCTTTGGAATTCCCGAATATCCAAAGCTTAAAAAGATCGACTATCTTGTACAGATATGGGGTATCTTACCTTCCATTAAGTAAACCCTATGCTTCTCTGGCCTCGTCTCATCATAAAAAAAAACAACTAACAACAACAAGTCTAAAAAAATACCGTACAGTATGTACTTTGTGTAAAGAAACAATATTTGTGTGACTTTTCTGTTACTAATCCCCATTGTGGGGTTGTTGTCTTAAAAATATTTTTATTATTTTTAAAATAATATATACTTTACTTTGGAAATATATACATTGACAAATTCAATACATATGAACACCGTATAATACCCCTAAATACTGTCTATAATTTACGCGAGTAGTACACATCTAAATAAAACACTTTAACGGTTTAAAACTACTTTCGGATGCTTTGCAGCAGCCGGTGTCTCCCCATGACCATGGCTGCTGCAAATTATCCGAAACGTCGGGCCTAAGTTAAAAATCATTTGCAAATAAGTTTAACTAATATATCGCGTTTTAAACCGTTAAAGTGTTTTATTTAAATCTATAATATCCCTTTTTTAAACTCGATAGTGAAAAGTTTAATTCCCACTGACCCACCAAAACAACAGCTTACAGAACGATAAAAAGATATCGCATACCATACAAGAGATAATTGAATTTTTCTATAATACATAGCATGTGTCCTCAGGGTTATACATAATAAGAAAATTCTCGAACACATTTCAGTCCGCGCGGCTTGGACTAGTGAAATTCTGTTTAAGCCGTCAGAGGTCATAGCTGTCGTTGTTGAAATACTTGTCGAGTAGAGAATTGCTGGGCTTTTAATTAAAGCTCTAGTAATTTAGGCTAGGGAGGATGTAGCTATGTATAGGATATAGTATTCTGCATACTCATTTGGATATGTTTAAATAAAGGTACCCGCGGCCAGGGTGGCGGGCCGTGGGGTTAGTTCAACTGTAGATAAATTAACAATACTGCTTAGATATGCGTGGAGCACGCATGTCCGTGCGTATACGGGGCGTTCTAAATATAAATCAACATTAAAAATACCTCTAATTTTAACAAGTGGGTGTAATTTAAATAAAACACATTTAACGGTTTAAAACGCGAAATATATTCGTTGAAGTTATTTGGAGATTAGTTTAACTACGGCCCGACGTTTCGGATGCTTTGCTGCAGCTGTAGTCAGGGGGAGGCAGTCTCCTGAGTTATTTATTTATTATCTTATTAGGTTATCTGTAGATTACAAGTGTGGTGCGCATTTAAATAAGACTTTTCGGTTTTAAATCATGTGACAGTCTCCCCGTCAAGAATCCGAATATTAATCTCCAAATAAGTTTTACTAATATATCGCGTTTTAAATCGTTGAAGTGTTTTATTTAAACTTATTTTTAATTTATTTATTTGTTGCTTTAGAAGCTTTGCAGCAGTCCTGGAAGGACACTAAAGCGAAAGTATTCCAAAATGCTAAAAATATTTTAATGAAATACTTAATTGCATAAAACATCTTATTCACACTAGGACGTGATTGGGACCAGAGACTAACACACAATGAAGTTTCTTTTTAATAGAAAACACTTTTAATTCTAAAGAGTTCTTACTTCCACATTGAAAGCTATAAAAGTAAACTTCTTTATTATGAAGTAGTTTTATGTTCACCTTTCTCATCTTCATCATGGTCTTAATCGATTAAGTAAAGTAAAAAACAACTATAAATTAAGTTAAGTAAGGTAAGTATTTATTTTTGATATTAAAATCTGTATAATGTGAATAAGTCTTGTCCATTTTTTTAAATTTGGAATATATTCTGAAGGACAAACATTTACGACACGAGCAGGACTTGAAGCGGCATTCACAGTGTTCCGTGCTCTAACCAATTGAGCTACCGTGTCCTTCACCTCATCGTAGAATTTCTTCAAACTTTCGATACTTGCATTTCTCGCACAATGTGTTACATTTTTAATATATATAATGCCATCAAAAACGTGCACATGTGAAAAATATTAAAGTTAAAAATATAAATCTGCTTTAGAAAAAAAAAATCAACAATATGGCAGTTTTCAATCCGAAGACCGCAGTAATCCGTGCTGTACTAACCCTGGACATTATCTTGATTACAAATAAGTAAGTCACCCTGTATATGAACATGTGAGATGTAAAATTCGAGCGGAGTAGGTACGGCGTCTATTATGATTTCGCACACTTGCAAATTGCACGCACACACACGCACTATTCGGACTTGGCTATTAGGGTGGATACCCATGCTGCCTTAAATTTGGCTATTTTAATACACGTCACAAGTTGCTCTTGTAGATTGTAATATAGTTTACAATTAATTACTCCTGTTGGATAAGTTTTTGGAACAGATTACTTCGAGCATGGGACAGAAGCAGTTTTATGCCCGTTTACGCATCGATGTAATTTACTGGGGATTTTCTTTGCCTTGCTCGATCAAAATGTTGTATCGGGATTTCAACCTGGGACCCTTCGTAGTTGTCTCTTTTACAGACAATGCATTGGTGCTCGCATAGTATAACAACAATTATAAATATTAGATACGAATTATATCTTAATGTAAATTTTCACATAATAATGTCCTGCAACTGGACTTAAAACTCCTTGCTCTGAATAGAGAATTTATGGAAGAAGACCCACCACTATGCCCCGGATTTTACAACTACGGCCATAAGCAAAGTACAACTGAAAATGTAGTTAAAATTTCAAAAATCGAACATGACACTTCGCCTTCCCGGAATTCCAAAACTGAATATTTTGTCCTACAGTCAAATGTTTTGGATGGTTTCAACCAATGGATTACACAAGTTTTATTAATATAACATCATTATAATTCTCACTTAGTCACGCCACGAATCACTTGTTGCGAGTTTCATTCCATGTGACAAAAGGTCATTGCTCTGCTATGCCATTTGAGGCAGAATTTATTTTTAATATTATTAATTTTGTTGTTTTCCTCTAATGCCAATGTCCAGTGTTTTGAAAACAAATAAATAAGAGAAAAAACAGCTTTGGAAGTTCTAAATATCCTTATTTATTTCTATATATTTGAAATGCCATTCATTGCCTTCTTCGTTAGGCTGAAACGAAAAGATGTTAAAATTATTCAAAAATAAAAGTACACTTACACATAAATTAAATCTTCAAAATTTAAAAGAAGTGTAACGTAAAATATATTAGCTCGTTTATTTATATTGCTTTTCAACGTTTTAACACTTTATACATAACAAATACCAATAACAATTAAAATATATTCTAGTATAATGAGATTTGGAATTTTAATATTAGGAAAAAAACATGTTGAATCTTCATTCTTCAAAACATGTTATTTTTCAAGTATAAACATTTACACCTTCTATGTAAACAAACTTACTCATTTTACCAAGGAATACTTTGACTACGACACTATTTAATTTTTAAACGTTATCCTTTTTCCTTCTTATTAAAATAACAATTTATTCAGATAAAAAAAAATAAGACAGAGCGGGGCATGAACCAACATCCACAGCAATCTGAGCTCTAACAAACTAAACTACCCTCCTTCTAATTATCAACAATAACAAGTTATGCGACTAAAAACGTTGGGAGCACTTAGTCAACGCTAAAATTTTGCACACACGTTCGAATTTAGAAATTTCTATAAATAATTGAGCAGCGTAAAAAGGATTGTCAACGATGCCTGGACAGCATCCCCATTTCCAATGGTAATTGAAAAGGGTTCCAGTTAAAAATTCAGCTGGTTACTTTGGAAGCCACGTGTCTATCCAATGTCTCTGTCATACATTTCTTATTTCACATGAATTACTTTTAAGCGTTCTATATCTATACTAATATTATATAGATGAAGAGTTTGTTTGTTTGAACGCACTAATCTCAGGAACTACTGCATCTAAATTAATCTTTATCGAGGAACAGAGGGAAATTTGGAAAAAAAGGGGGCAATTCATCTTCGCTGGCATTCTTTGCGTGCGCTGCAAAAATGGTTCCAGGAACCAAAAAAAATGTTTGCGGCAGTTTGTGTCTATCTAACTCGCAACACCAATAGGATCCTGACGGCGTCGTGAGTACAATAACTATTCTACGCGGACGAAGTCACGAAAAGAGCTAGTCGTCTATAAAAATTATACCAGTTTCTGCCTCACTTATAACACTAATGATCTGGCTCTGCCGTTAAAACAACCATGTTTTGGACCATTGAACCATTGAATTGGAACCATGTAGATTTGAGACCCGCTTGTGTCAAATATATATTTGTAAAAAAAATAGCTTTCATACTTTAATTATATGTATTAAAAGCCCGTCTGTGTCAAATATTTTGACATAATTATTTCTTTACCTTAAAAAATTTGACGTTCGTATTTTAATTATATTAAACTACCATGTCACTTACATCTATCATCGGTTTAGCACGATATGTTGTGGCCGTGGCATTGAGTCCCGCCCGTGTCATTTAAAAAAAAGTATGTAAAATAACCATTTCGCGTGAATAACAAACACATTTAAAATAATTTTTAGAAAATTTTATTTTTGAGTATATATCGTTTATTTTACACGATGAGGAAAATACTGGGTAAATATATCGTATATGATATACTATGAAAATCATATGTTTTCATAACTATCCAAAAAAATATTTTGATTTCGACAACGAAGGATTAGCGGTTGTCAACTTATCGCTTTAGAACTTCCGTAATCCACAGACTGAACTTGAAACGTAAATTTAGAGATCACGGCTACCATAAGATTTTCCAGACGATTGGTCAAACGTGTTAAAAAATCAGAAAATGGTTTAGGAATTTGGTGAGGTTATTGGAAACCTAGGACCCATGGATTTGTACCCTTGTATGAATTATATTGCTAAATGAGACAATGTTTTGCTGATTAGGAATGTAGTTAGAAACGGAATGTAATGTAGCCTAATAAAAGTAGTTCGAGTCGTAGCCAAAACAACGTCTCAATTTTCGTAATGTAAAACAAAACAATGAAAGTTTGATTGGAAAGCAATTCTTAGCGTAATATTAATTTAGTATAAATAATATTCTGATTTTAATTGTGGCTACAAATTTATTTTATTAAAACCGCATAGAGATCTGTTCAGTACTTTCTGAGATCTTTCTGAGATGAAGTGTCTAATTCTAGTCTAACAGACGAACAGTAAAGTTCTGCTGAGTGCTGTAGCAGTGCTGTTACTAATTCTGAATCAAGACCATTTTGTCATTGCTTATCTTTATTATTTTTTTAATCACATGTATTATTTGCCATTATTGTTCTAAATGGATGCCAAATAAGGAAATTTATTTCTATACGTACATTGAAACCAATTTCAAATATTTTTACTGATTTTATATAATGAACTTATTCAAAAACTTGCTTGCTATATTAATATATATAAAAGCAGCCATAATTGTCTGCTTGTATAAACTTATTTTCAAGCAGTTCCAACAGATAATGTTTTTCGAGATCCAATAGACTAATCGAAACGAAATATTTTTAATCCCAAACCAAGTAGCGGGCAATGTTCAGCTATAAAAGCCTAGTTTAAAACAATAGTTTAAATTATTCCCGGTCGTAATCCTTAATATGAACGAAATCACGTTAGCGCTTATATGGGTGTACTGAAGAGACTGTTCGAATCCATTTACTGCTCTAAATTATGCGTAAAACGTCCATTTGACGTCCTCCCCTCTTTCCTCTTATCGCGTGGACAGAACGGGCGCCTCCGGGGGTGCCGGACTAGGGCGAATCGGGGGGGGACCCCTAAGTGCGGGGGACCAAAGTCCACCTCACCCTTTAGCTACCCTGAAGTTCCATCTCTCACACCTATAAATTCGGCACATACACCCTACTGGGGGGTCCATGGCGTACCAATCCTTTCGCTGCGGCCGTGTCACATTTGCCAAAGCTCTAGTGACCTCAACTACAAATTAATATTCAGAAACGTTTCCATTCGGATCGTTAATCATTCTCACTGCTTCTATTGCTGGGCTATAGGCACCGGTTTGTATTACTGCTATCCTACCTATCGTGTATACACTGAATTAATTTAAATTTTCATATGCAATATATCAAAGAACAATCATATTATTAACACAGAAATGTTGCCACTCAATTAAAACACGCTTTTTTTCAATGTCAAAATACTTCCCACGCTATTAATTTTAATACCTGTAGATATTGTTAAATAATAATAATGATTAATTGTGTTACGAAAATGACTATGTAGCTACCCTACGTATCTCTGTTACAGTAGCTGTCTCTATTCTTAGGTCAATCAGTATAAATCGCACGAATTGGGGTGTGGGTACTCCAAGCCTCAATACTAGTATAGTTTAAATTATGGTTATTAATAGTAATGGAAAGTCTAATATAAAATTGCAATACCTAGTCCTATTATAAAATTTAGTAAAGGTGTCGAACCGAAACTTACATCTCTATACTTATAAATGTAGCAGTTAGCCTACAACCTCAAAATTCGTGTAGCATTCTAAAAAAAATATCTTTACCCAAAACCAAAATTTCAAAATACTTTTTGTTTGACCGAAAGCCCAGAAAAATTACATATCCTGTTGATCGAGAGAATGGTAACTTATAAATTATAATAAAACGCTAAATTGCAAAAAGAAATGACGTCACAGATGTTAATATGATAAAAAGTTTGTTCGTATGTATGCACAAATCTATGATACTTTCCAACAAAATCGTCAATAAAAAATAGTTCAACGACAATAACAGTTTCACCTTAGGAAAATTACGTTTATTTAATTAAAAGTCTGTTGCAGAACTTTTTATTACTCCTATTTTCTGATACAGAACTTAAGATTAAACGATACTTAAATAAACTAGATTGCGCATCGGCGTACTAAATCACAGGCTACGTGAAAAGTTTGTTTAAATTTTTTCTAGTCAGGGCCAATGCTTCTTAAACCTTTCGGTAGGGTGGATAAGAGAAAACTAAGCAAAATAAATAAAAATGTACTTTTACATTTTGTAAATGTCAACGCGATCTTAACTCGATTAAATTAGTACCGTTCTTACTCGTATATAGTTTAGTACAGTTTATTATAAAAAAGGAAATGTTCTATTAGATAGTTACAATGATTTAATAGAATTGCAATAGATGAAAAATCTACAAATTGTTATTTCGTTTATATTATTATATTTTCGTAAATAAAACTAGACAAAAGAACTATATATATATAACGTATAAATAAGTTGATGAGTGTCCATTGTTTGAGAACCATGTGTAGAAAGTTAGGGTGGCGCCAGTGGGGCGCCAAGATTCGCTCGCAGGTAATTTTAATAGACGTCACAAAATACCATCACTAAAAAATAAATTGAATTTCCAAAAAAAAAACTTAAACTGTTTTTACCTAAGCACACAAACCGATCTTCATTTACTAAGGTTTCATTCTCAAAGGCTTCGCTTTACTTTCTGCAAATATTCTCGACCGGTCCGCCAACTTAAAAGTCTTACAAAGTAATGTTACTCGCGCCCCGCCCGCTTTCTCATCAAGCGTCTTAACTGAATTCGTCAAAAGATATTTATTCGCGAAATGTGACTGCCTTCCCTTTGCGATACCATTATTTTTATCTTTCAGTTCATCATTGGTTTTCGTTGGCTTTTTATCTTCGTACTCGGACATGGACGAGCTATTGCTGTAGTTACATACAACATCCACCCTTATCACTTGCAGAGTGGCTGGACTCTCAGTTCTTGAAATCGTCAAGCTTTTTCTCTTACCGCTTTTGCGATATGCTACTTTCGTGTCGCTTGCGTTATTGTTCTCTACTTTGTCTTTGTTTTCCACATCCACATTGACGTTGTCAGTTGCTTTCTTTAAATTCAACTTTGTTTTTATTGTCTTAGAACACTTTTTGCCTTTATCTGGTTGGCCAGTGTCTTTTGGGTTGTTAACGAAGTTGTATAGAATGGAGCTAGACTTTCCGGACGACGGTCTTGACCGGTCATTACTTAATAAGTATTTCGCGTAATCGTCGTAATAATAACAAGTGAGTTCGGAAAAGCGGCCGCTCTCATTACAATTATCCTCGACGAGTTCTTTGACAAACATACGGTGTCGACGGTGGGGTAAAGTTTTGTATTTAAAACTAGTTCGGAGTCTCTTTCCTTGCCGGGTTTCTCCTTGAAACTGTAAGTTCTGTACGGAGAGAAATAAGTCTTCTGCATTCTTTTGTCGACCGCTGATGTAAGCTTGACAGAAGTCGTCGTTTTCAATTCCATTATAGTAGAACCTGTGGAGGAAAATACTCTGTTAAATCTAATTTAGTAACAGCATATGCATAGCATATAAACAAAACAGCATATTAGTGCGAGGTAACCTTTCAAGATTATTTTTCCATGTGATATCTTCCTGGTGGTTGGGGTCGACTAATCGTCTCTCACAGAATCGTCGCGGCCTTTCATTCGTTACTTCTTTCGTGCTTATTTTGGTTCTATCTTGCAGTTCAAGCTTAGCACACTTCATATTCACTGAAACAAAAAAATTGTTGTTTAAAAGTCCCACAAACTGTGGGACTTTTAATCATCATGCAGCTAATAATTTTCAGAATACTGCCTCGTAGATCTATAGGTCTAGTGCAGATCAAAAGTATCCACGTGCAAAGCCTGAGTGTTAAAACATTTTTACTCTAGTATTTCTTGCACGCGAAGTTTGCAAGTTGTAGGTCTTATCTACTCTGTGCCTCGGAGAGTACGTTAAACCATCGGTATCGGTTATCAGTATTAATTGGGTAAGTGGCAGTAGCAGTGTGGTGGGTTTAAGGTATTTAAACCCTCTTCTTGTAGGCCTGTGCCCGTCAATGGGATATTAATAAGTTGAAGCTAGAACGCGATTTCTACACTGTAACAATGTAGATATATCATTTTATGTTACATACATTAAAAACATTGTATAAATGTATCTATAATGCAAAAAATATAGGTATTTCGGTAGATAGTAATCTTTAAAACTTGGCTTAGAAGCCATTTCTGGTTTGAATTTTGCATTCATGAACTATTAAACGCTTAAGTTTGGGCTATAAAATTATGCCTACTGTTTAAATTACAAGGACACGCAATATTCCTATCCTTGAACATTCTAAATGTGGGATTTATTCTAGATACATATATTCATAATATATCTACTACTATCGGCTAATATTTATTTTAACTGCCTCATAATAATTGGTCTCGTAAAAGCTTAACGCATGCATTTTGCATTCTTTCCGTGCATTGTTTAAAATTAATAGTCTAAGTTTTAAGACGCTCAATACCTTTATCTCTCTTTTACTCACGGTACAGCATTTGAGTCAGAAAAGGACAAATACGTGTTTTTTTTAGAAGCATTCATAATAACTACAATGCCGACAGGATGGTGTATTTGATCTAGCATCGAAGCTTCACTAGCGGTCCACATGTTCTTGGGAATAGCTCCGAAAACGATGCAAAAAATGTTTCCTTGTGAATTTGTAACGTGATCAAATGATCTTGATATTTGGCATGGCAAAAACATATTTAATAAATAAGGTCTGCAAATAATATTTAGTCCTATTCTATGGGTTGTAAAACTAAGAAAAACAATTTGAAAATTAAGTCATTTCAAGAAGTCCTTGAAGATTTGAGGAATGGGTCAAAATCAGAGTGACTTCTTTAGAGGTCATGTTTCCTTGAAAATCGAACCTGGGATTTTAGTCAGCAACTACACTGTGTAACACACACAATTGACCGCCTTTATAGCCAAATGGTTAAACGCTTTAAGCACGAGGGGTCCAGGGTTCGAGTCCCAAGGGAACAATAGATTCTTACACATACCAGGAAATGGATGCAGAACTGTCCCATTCATTCTATACCCCAATGGGGGTAACAAACAGAACAGTTTTGAAGGAAGTGAAAAAGAAATTTTATCGTGTTAATATCCATCGTTTCTTTCCACAAGTTCATTGGAACAGCTTTATCGTGAGTTGACAGTTTCAGTGTTTTTTGCATAATTACTGGGACAAAATAAAAACACATTTAGCAACGTTTTGTGTGCCACGCTCAGCTATAGAATAAGAAATGTCAACGGGACACGCGAACCTGTAAATTACTTTGTAGAAGAAGAGCTATTTTTGGCAAATTATACAGAACGAAAATTAAACAGTCAGTGTAGTTAGTCACGAATTATGAAACGCGCTTAACGAAAAATAGTTGTTCAGCTAAAGTTTAAATTTGTATTAATTTCTCATTACATGGGACAGCTATGTTTGTTCGATCGTATTTATAAAAATACTTTACCTATGTGATTTTTGCGCCTTGCTTCATGAATGGTATTATATCCCCAAGATTCAAATCTTTCAATTTACCTTGCAGTGACGACCATTGCAGAATGTACTTATATACATAATATTAGCGTTAAACTTTATGTGACAAGCTTTAACAGAGAAACTTGCTAATCTTACTTGATCATACTTGTATACGATATAAATTCTAAGGTAGGCTGCGGAGACTGGCTGGTTTGACCAAAAAAATGATTTTAGAACGAATATGAGAAGCCATCCTTTATATATGGTCACTCTCAGTGTTTCTATTTTCAAATTTCGAAGATTGGAATCTAGTGTTTGAAAAAATTTCGTGTTAATAAATACCATTATAAATATATCGCGAATATATTTATAATTTATCGAACAAAAAAAAACTTGAAATAAATCAAACCATCAAAACTAATAAAATCGAACTATACACGCACACTATATTAGAATAATAGACACAGCAGCTGCTACGACTAGATGAGCACACAGACAAACATCTCGCTGCATCGCTTGGATAGCAAAAAAATGCATTATTATTATCCTGGAATCAGGACATTGTTTATTGCTACACAACTGCACCCTGTAACTCTGTGTGATAAGGGCGAAATTTGTGTATCGCGTTGTAAGTAAACGATTAACTTCGATTTATGCTGCATGCGTAATGTTAGATGAGATTTTAAGCTCCTTGTTGAGTTACATAAGGTGTCATTTGCCATGCGTAGAATTGGAAGACTCCAAATTTTAATAATAGTAGAAAAAAAAACGTATCTTCCTAGGCGCCAAATGCCTGTTGCACATCGAATATTATAACATTTAAAAGAATTTTGTTGTTTGTGATGCGATGCTATGATTCTAAAAATAGCTATCTGCACTAGCACTGTAATAAAAACCTTCCGCTGTATAATGATACAGCGTGTAATTAAGCTAATTGAAGTTTGTTATTAATATCGGCTTATCAGTGTTAGGACTTTTATAACATACCTACGTAGATTATAGGTATAGGTAGCATTCAATAAGTCGAGAGATGTTTATTGTTTGGCTTTCGTTTTTTTTAATTATTTTTCGTTTTTGTAAATTATATTCCATTTTAATGCGCTTTATTTTTATACGGACATTTATTATCTACGTAAGAATCTGGAATGTATTTATTTACTTGTTCCTAAAATTCTATATAAAAAAAATAAAAGTACTTAATAAGTCCACGTGTTAGTTTATTTTTATTTTTTTGTAAAGTAACCGTTGGTTTTATCAGGCACATGACTAAATTAATATTATACATATATATGTATTATTATACATAAGTATACTTAGTGTTCATAACAAAACGAAAAAAAAATATCGAATAGGTATACAGACAGACAGACATAGTATTTTTTTTTATAGTCCAACGGAATCTTAAATGTTTTCTATACGCGTAATATTAAAAACTATGCTTTTATTGGTCTAGTAAGGTTAATATTAGGAATATTCATTTGTAGTATCACAGAGGTAAAAATCTATATTTTTTAGAGGTGGTATGCATAAATAACTGAATGATCTAGCTAGCTAAGTTTTTCAGTTTAAATACCTACTAGTAATTAAGAATGTTTCCAATATTATTCGCGAATGAAACTTATGTGTCATTTAAGCATAATACTTTTTAACAATAATTGACTTGCAAAGTACTTAAGTTATTAACAGAGCCGATTCTATTAAAACAATAGCTCTGTCTGTAAAAATATCTCCTTAGAAAATATTTCTTACAACTCTTTCTATTTCGTTGAGTATAATCTAGAGACAAAGGAAGTTCGTCGAACAATTGACGAATTAGGTACAACGTTAAAACTTGTTTCGCTGAAATAACTCAAAAGAGTTTCCGCTTAATATTTTTACGTTGATTAATGTTCTATAGGGCTCTTATATTAGTCATAGTTAGTTAGTTAGAAGAATTTGTCTATAACGTGTCTTATGTACACTAAAGTCACACGTTTTTTAGATGCAATTATCATTTTCAAGTTGTTTACAACAAATTTAAATGTTGTTTACGCAAATGTTACATAGTAACATACAAAATATCACGATTTCAACCAAGCACGAACTTGTATGTTAGTTTTCGTAACCATTATTTATACAGGCCATAAAAGTATTGTCTCGTTCATTTACATTTAACCCATGTGTTTTCTTTAAATAGTGCTGATCAATTTTCTATTAGCAATTGTCATTTTAATTTTAATATTTACAGTTTAAAACTTGATATATATATGTTATATGTTAAATTACTATTAACTACGACCCGTTTTTAATATAAAGTAAAAAAGATATAGTGTTATTAAGTCTATACCACTCACGTTAAATATATGTTTAGATTATTACCACGGAAATATTGTAATCTGAAATCATTAATGCGATAATTGTACAAACAAACAAACATAGCTATATTGTATGGTATATAGTATAATTCAAGATGTGACGCATGTTCTGTCATATTTCTCCGCAACAAAGCGATGATCTGACCTTCGACCTGTCAAAACCCACTTGCATCAACGCGCGAACCCGTGGAACAAGTTGACCACGATAATACAACCTGCTACTGGGTCAGGCACGACAAAAGAGGGTCACTGAGCCCATGCATCGATTACACTACCGCGTCCTAATCTTTAGTCCGACTTCGCATTATCATCACAAAAGCTTGACCCCCTGCCGTTTCTAAAGAAATAAAATCTCCTCAAACACGCCCATTGCCAAAATTATATTCTCTTGAAGCCGATGTTAACTGTGACTGATTTATATGTCCCTTTCATCTTAAGACAATAGTTAAACTATAATTACTTACAGCCACGTCCCATATTGTCTAAAAAAATCTCATCAAAATCAGTATGTATTAAATAATATAAGAATTCACTTGGTATGTTATGAATTATCGTAGTTCTTCTATTGAATTGCACCGGCTCTCGAGACCCCTTTGCCCCAAAATCTATCAAAGGCCGGACAAAACCATGTGCGCGAATATGTAGCAGTGGATAAATAAAGGGATGATATATTGTTAAATCTGATGTGATTAAAAAAACCATTTCCCTTAGAGCTGTCAAGGTGCATTATCACTAGTGTTGTGGAGGTATCAATCGATATCGATAGTAAAGGGCGAATTGCTATAATTGAAAAAGTTATTTTATTTGTTTTGTATATATTGATAATAATAATCAATCATATTAACTCTTTT